GACCTTATTTCTTTTGTTTTTTTTATCTTTTTTTTATTTTTATATTATTAGTGCATATTTTATACCATTTTATATTTTTCTTTAGAACATTTCTAAACACCATCCCAGATGATTTTATTAAATATCATCTATATATATAGCAAGCGGTTTGTGTAATGTATATTACATTATACATATTGTTTATATAACCAAGTCTAATAGTGACATTTTTATTCATCACAAAGGTCGTGACTGTCACTTGGTATGACAAATAACAATTCTTTATTAAAGTTAAATATAAATTATTAATCGTCACACCCAATATTTCATCACGCACATGCATTACAAATGGATTAAACTTAAACAAGTATTCTAAATAAATTGTCTTTATGGCAATTTTATTTAGTATAGTTGACCTTTTATAAGCGCTCTTTATATAAGTGTGCTTTACATACACTTATAAATATGAATCATTTGATCGGTCCAATTTAATCAATATACTTCATAAGTGCATATTCTATATGTACTTTTCACAAACATATGCACTTATGAAGAGTTAACTGTAAAATCGGCTTAATTGTTTAGCACAACCTAGTACTGTATAACTAAAATTCAGGTTGATCTCGATATAGTAAAGAGATTTGAAAGTATTGAGTATTTTATATTGGTTACTTAACCTTTATCTATTAGTTAAGAATTTCGTGCATCTCTATTTTGAGAATATATAGGTTTGTTTAGAGTTTATCTTAACTATATCGAGAAAACCCCAGATATCGCAAAACTATAAGTTATATTAATGTTAGCAAATCATAATATCAATTGATTTCAATTTAAGCATTCTCTTTTTCTGGACATTTCAAATAAGTATGACCACTTTTATTACATATTCCACATGGTGCTATACAACTTCTTGCATTATGCCCATTTTTAGAACAATTCCGGCAAGTATATGTTTCCCCAGTATGGGCTTTAATACTTACAACCTTATTTCGAGAACTTTTAGAAGTATCTACCTCCGTGAATGATTTAATTCTTTTATTGGGTCTGCCACATGCATCAACTTGAAATGGATTTTGAATCGTACTAGAGTCTAAACTATCTGATGAGTTGCTATTAGCTTGTTCTATTTGTTGAATCAAGCCTCTTAAAGTTGCAGTAACATGTGTCAGATTAAATTCAGATGCCAAAGCTGCTAATTTTCAACCTAGCGCTGCACATTCACCATAAAGTTGCTGTTTTGAAATTTTATATTTGATTTCTTCAAAATCTTGATTTAACGAATCATTTTTAAGATTTTGAATTTTATTCATAGTTAAAAGTAAATTTTCAATTGGCATATCTTTATCTGCGAAAGATTCTTCAGAAGAGTATAACCTCCCACAAGAATCGAATAAGGTATTGATATTATGCAAATCTGCATCTTTTTTATACTATTGATTCTTTATTAATGCTATAGAAAATTTTGCTTTTTGTGTTTTTAGCATAATCTAAAAGAAGTGCCGACAAACAAGACTTTCGCTAAACAAAAGCAAGCATGTACAGACATGTGATTGATCTCGAAGCAATACAACACAATTTGTTGAAATAGTATTAACTCCCATATGCTTGACTTTCCAAATTTCAATTACATTACTAGGATTAATTCACTTAACAAGAGATTTCAAAGCAACTTGTCTCATATCTAACTGATCTTCAATACAAACAACAGTATCAATGGCATCAACCTAAAGATAAAAATTAAGTAACTATTATGCATTGATCTTTTAAACTGAAATAGTTAAAACTTACATCATCATACACAGAAAACTGGTCTAAATGAATCGGTAACAAATTATATTCGAAGCAAATATCAATTTGGGCTTTCTGAATTAGAAATATTTCATCTGTTAAAATTGATCTCAAGTGTTCTAATAGCTTCGAAAAAACTCGATTCGATGCTGATGATCCAATATTATATGGTAAGCCTTCTAAATAATCATGATATTCAGCTTTTTGAAGTTCAAATACTAACATTTTCTGCATTCCATTAAAAAATTCCATTAATGTTGAATGCGAATTAACGTATTTATGCATTACTGCATTAATTGATTCAACATATTGAGTCAAAGACATTCCAGCATTGAACTCCTAAGCAAAAAAAAGTCATTACAAATCAAAACATTAAATAAAACCACTGACTCTAATTCTAACATCTAATCTAAACCCACTCTAACCCTAACCTCTAACCTCAACTCATCCTAACTTACTCTAACTCTAACATCTAACCTAAACCAACCCTAACCCTAACCTCTAACCTCAACTCACCCTAACTCTAACCGCTAATCTAATCTTACCCTCACCCTAACCTTTACCCTAATCTTTAATCTTATCCTCACTCTAACCTTAATCTAATTCAACTTTACTCTAATCTCCAATTTTACCTTAAAAGTAAAACATTTAGCCCATCGCGTTTTAATCGGATAGAGATTATTTTTCAAATATAAAGATGCTTTAGAGTAATTTTTACATAATAATTCAAATTGTATTTCAAACACTTCTTCAAACAATGTATTTCTACAGGATAAAAATTTTCCTGAAATTTTGTGTATCGTGAGCCAAGAGAACGTGTTAAACGTTTTTTAATATTCTGCATAATGTGGAAAATACAATGTAGATATTGTGTAGTTGAAAGAGTTGCCTTAATCGCTGGTCCTAATCCAGTATCACAATCAGAAAATATTGTTGATGGAGATAAATTATCCACTGCTGTCATAAAATTATTGAGAACCCAAGAATATGATGATGTCGTTTCATCAGACATCAGCACCTGTGCTAATAATCTTGAATGTCGGTGTTCATCAACACCTACAAAAAAACATAGTGCTAATCGATATTTGTTTGTTCGTGCTGTATTGTCCGTTAAGATAACATCATGATGTCTTAAATAAAGACTTTTCTGGTGTGGCGTCATCCAAAATAAATGGAAAAGACGGTTTTTAACACAGCAATCTGCTATAAACCATGTAGGATCTTCTTCTTTCAATGTTCTTAATGTTTTTAAAAGATTAGATACATCGTTTTCAGGATCTTTCTCTGGATCAATTACATTGCCCTTTCTAAAATGCTGGATCACATTGGCTAAGTCTTTATCTAAAAATAATTGATCCTCAAATTCATCTTGCAAGAGTTGTCTTAATGTATGCTGGCTAATTCCATGAACAGTGTTTACATAAAATCTGATCTTATTCATTATCTGTTGAGGAATATGCCGGTATACATTGATAAAATGTGTATTATCAGGATCTAATGTATGACCATAGTGGATAAAGTTTAATTTAGTAATAGACAAACCTAGAGAACTCAATGGCCAGCATATGTTGATAAAACATGTGCAATTTGTTTTAATAGACTTTTGGTTATGTTTTTGTGAGGGATCATTTTTTGTTTTTTTAGATTTAAAGTTATCAGCATGTTGGCATTCAAAACAATACTTATAAACACCACCCTTTTTATTAAGTTTTTTATCTTGAATTCGCCAAGCAAAACCTTCCCTTTGTCCATATGCTAATAAAACTAAATTTACATAGTCCCAGTGTTCAAACTGCATTCCTACACATAAATTTGACGCTTGCTCAAAAGCAGTACTAGGTATTGACAGTGTTCTAGGACTCCTTTTAGATATACCATCACGAGTATTTGAAGTGTCAGATATTTGTTGAAAAAAAAACTCTCCTAAAGACTCGTCATTTTCATTATTTTCATCATTATCGGTTTGATTTAACTAAAAAAGAAAGTTGGGTAAGTATAAAGCACTAGGGTAAATAATATAACGATTGAGTATAAAACTCTAGAGTAAATAATATAACGATTAAACTGAATATTTACAGGGTCAGAATGAAGATTTAAATCTTCTTGACTGGTAAGTTCATTATTAGTTTCACTTTCAAGATCGGTTTGACTCATCTAATAATTTAGGTAAGTATAATGTACAGTATATGAAAAAAGAATAGCATAAAGAACCAACACATACTGGATTTGCTAATTAGCAACACAAAAGTTGATGACAAACAGCTTGGCAAACAAATTTATAGTAAGCAGCTTGCGGCAGGCAGCTTCTAGTGTCAACTAGCGATGTGTTACTTATATAGTAGCTCAGAGACAATGTACTAAGGTAGAAACTTGGATAACCACAGATCTTATAACCTGGGCAACAACTTGTAATGGGCACTTGTGTAATATTAGGCACGGATCTTTTACAGTGTCTTATTTAATTAAAGAGGTAAGAGGCAGCAAGCTTTTAATAAAAAAGAATGTGAGGGTACAGCGAATTAACTAGCGAAATAACTAAAAGTAAACCTTGTAACGAAAAGCAAAAAAAAAATAAAAATCGAATTTTAGTGTAATACAAATCACGTGAAACTGCCTATACGTATATATTATTCACGTGACTAATCAGTAAGATGACGATTACTAAAATCATCCTGGATGATCTATATAATAATTCTTTAAAAATATAGATTTCTTTAAGTGCACACCCTTGAAACCATACTTTAATAACATGTATAATATATGGAGAATAATAAAAAAAAGTATATTTATAGAAGTCAAGTATATATTTGGGCAAGTACTTGAAAGTGCAATTAAAAAAAATGTATACTTAGAGTGCGTGTATACTTAGAGTGGGTATACTTAGAGTGGGTGTACTTAAAGTAGGTGCACTTAGAGTAGGTGCACTTAGAGAGATCTGACTATATTGCTATATAAATTTACCTGGTGATGGTAATCCATGACAATTCGCATAATTAATAATAAATGTAAGAATATTTAAAATAGTTGAAAATGATAAAGTATTATAAGATTTTTTTTCTAAAAGTGCATGAATAATTGGTTTAATACTATTATTCTAATAATGATTACAAATATTTTTCTATTTTTTATTTGATAGTGAATATATTGTTTGAAAAGCTTTTTCACAAAGTTCATCATTATTAAAAGTATATTTAATAGTTAAATATTGTTTTTCTTTACTATGTAAAGTCTTATTAGAATGAACTATTATATGAAGTATTTCTAAAAGAAATATATTATACTCTAATTTTGATAATTTTGAATGCTATCAAAAATTTGGAATGCAGATTCATGATCAATTTTAGTTAAGCACATCTTTAATTGTATGTTGAGCGAATATTTTTTGAAACTTTTCAATTTGCAAGGAAATAAGAATTTGATTATCAAATTGTAGTATTTTCTTATCTTGTATATTGTTAATTTCTATGTTTCAAGAATAGATTTTTTTTCCAGTTTTTTTTAATTCTAACTCATTATAATTGTTATTAATTTGATAAAATTTTTTAAGCTGACTAAATTCTTCTGATAATGAATATATTTCTGAATGTGTCTCTAAAAAAATTAAAGAAACCAATGTATATATTAAATCTATTTTGATAAAATTCAAAGAGGTCAAAAACGTAATAAATAATTTATAACTAGATCAGATTATTTGATAAAGTGAGCATAATACCAAAATTTCATATGTTATTACTTTGCTTATGCAGATCATTTTTAAAGAGATGCAAAGCATCTTGATAAAGAATCAAAGTACCCCAATTTGAGATACTTTGTTTTTTTAATAATGAGGATCCTCCAAAAATATATGACCCTACCCTAAGTTTGAACACTAACTAATTTAAGTAATTACAATAAACCATTTAAGCAATTATAAATTAATATACAAAAGCATCTGTCATTGCTATTGTGTTCGAAATTATCTCTCTAATTTATTTATAGAAATATAATAAGCCTTCAATCAGAATATTACTTACTAATTTACAATTATATTTCATTTATATAATAACTATAGTAATAATAACACAAGTAAAAAATAAACCAAAATTAAAAAATAAAAATACGTATCACTTCACCGACATACATTGTAGATACAAGACTTTATTAACAATTACTTCACTAACAAGTTTATTTTACAAATATTTAAATCACTAACGATTAATTTACCAATATGTTAATTTTACCAATATGTTTATTTCATTGACACTTAATTCACTGACAAGCTTTATTCGCTACAAATCGGCCTAATTATACTATATTCTAATCTTAACACTAATCCTAGCTTAGCTAAATGCTTAATCATAGGTTCCTTGTTTTACCTGAATTAAATTTGTCAGTAAATTAATTGTCAGTAAATTAAGTGTCAGTAAAATAAACATGTCAGTAAAATTAACATGTTGGTAAATTAATCGTCAGTAATTTAAATGTCTGTAAAATAAACTTGTCAGTAAAGTAATTGTTAGTAAAGTCTTGTGTCTACAAAAGGAAATTGAAAAGAAAATAATCACAATACAGTCAACTATTAGCAATAAACATGCAAAATATTCTGTCATGAGTTTAATACCTGTAGATTTTCTATAATGATGAATGCTTTATTTTAATTCCAGCTCTATAACCAACCAGAATACTCTGACTAAATTATTTATGTCTGCATTTTTTGATAATGAATGAATCCTTCAATTTCATCTTTCTTAATTTTGATTTCAAGTTCATAACAAAACAAAGCCAGAATAATTTGACCAGATCATTCATGCCTGCAGATTTTTGATTTAACTTCATTTTCACATTCATAACAACAGCCCAAGCCAGAATACTTCGACAATATTATTCATATGCAGAATTTCGATAACAAACAAATAAATTAATCCAATTCCATGTATATAACAAATAACCAAGCCAAAATATTTCAGATAGTTCATTTATACCTGCAAATGTTTGATAATAAATCAATAGTTCATTTTTATCTTAACTCCAATTCTGTGCTCATAAAAATAGTGAATTTTTGAATACCTTTTCTTTATTTTATGTTTGTAATTTCAACCAAGCTAGAATATATTGATTAGACTATTCATATGCAGATTTCGATAACAAATAAATGAATTAACTCCAATTTCATATAAATAACAAATAACCAAGCCAAAATATTTCAGGTAGTTTATTCATACCTGCAAATGTTTGATAGTTCATTTTTATCCATCTAACTCCAATTCTGTGCTCATAACAATAGTGAATTTTTGATAGTTAGCAAACACCTTTTCTTCATGTTCATCTTCAATTAAGCCAGAATACTTCAATTCATGTGCAGAATTTCGATAATGAATAAATGAATTCTTATTACCAATTTCATATTTATAACAAATAACCAAGCCAAAATATTTCAGATGGGTCATTCATATCTGCAAATTTTCGATAATAAATGAATAGCTAATTTTTATATTTTTAACTCCAATTCTGTGCTCATTATAATAGCGATAATAAATGAGTGTATTATTTTATCATTTATAGACCCATTCCATGTTCATGATAATAGCCAACCAGATTGTCACCATCTAGATCTTCATATCCGCATACTTGATAAATGAATATCTTTTAGCTCTAATTCCATATTCACAAGGCAGAATATTCTGTCTAAACTAATATTAACTATCTGTTTTATTATTAGTATTAGATTGTTATAACTGTCTCAGATTACTTACCAAAATTCAGAAGTCTATACTTGTAAATCTGGCATAGTGATAAAGGTGTATTTGTTATATCAACAGTTAAAAATAAAAATAAATTTAATTAGTTGAAAATTGTTGATTAAGCTAAATACTTTTTTTTTTTAACATCTTAAAAACAAGTACAAAGATGCTAACCAAAAAAAAAAAAAGAGAATTTATTATGTATTACAAAAATAAAATTGGATCAGCATTTATATTTGAACTTTAAAATTCATGATTTTAATTGGCTTATCATCGAGAGATGTTAATTCAACATTTTTACAATAAATTCTGAAAATTTATATTGATCTACATCAATTTATATTGCTACAATTTATTCAAATTAAACAGCTTTTTGCATCATTTTATCGATAATATAAAATTTTATTAAGCTATCAGCACTTCTTTCTTAAGCAAAAAATGTTCCTAAGATAATTTTGAATTAGTTAAGCCAAAAAAACAAAATTTGAAAAATTGTCGATTTGGTCTCTTTTCACAGCACCTAGCTCATATATATATATTTATATACAGTATATATGTCAAAACAATCTAATAAGGTAGCTGTACAATACTGTTATACAAAACTAGTGTTGGTGGTAGAATTACTGAATTTTGGTATTCTACTATATAGTAAAATTAATTATGGCACAGAGCCCAATTGCTATAATATCACAATGCTATAATGCTATAATGCTACAATGCCATAATACTATAATGCTATAATCTCATAATACTGTAATGCTACAATGCCCAATTCTGTAATATTATAATATTATAATACTATAAGAGTACTAATATTTATTAGATAATATTTTAGAAGATAGAGATCAAGCAAAATCTTATTTCATATAAAACAATTATAGCCAATCCAATTTAGCTAAATATCTTATCTAGAGTAGAGATAAGCCTCTATAGTAAAAAATATTAGATAACTAGATATCAGGAGCTGATAGATGGCCAAAGCAAAAATATTGATTACTATAATTTAAAAAAATCATAATCTAACTATATGGGCAGCTGTTAATAGAAATCAAGCAAATCTATATTTGAAATAAATTTAATGCCTTAACTTTCACAGCTCATATCTCGATGAATCTTAAAGCTATATTGATGGTTTAATATTCAACAGAAAGCTTATGATCTAAGCTTTCTTTTGAATATTAAATCATCAAGAAAGCTTTAAGATTCATCGGGATATGAGCTGTGAAAGTTAAGGCATTAAATTTTTTTCAAATGTTAATTTGTTTGATTTCTATTGACGGCTGCCCATATAGTAATATATAGTATATACAGTATAATAGTATACAGATCTAGATTAATCTCAGGATCTAGTAATTGGATTTTTATGATTTTAGGCTTGTTAGAATCCTCTCTCTGAGAGGATCATTTTGGTAGTTAAATCACCTGAATTGGTCTAGTAAATCAAAAGATATTTACTATTAAATATTTAATATTTAATAGTAAATAATCTTTGATCTATTAAACCAATTCAGGTGATTTTTTAGTTCTTGATAGAGCTGACAAGGTCTTCCAACCCACATGTGGGTTGGTGCAACAAGTCGCATCTGGGTGCACATGATATAGCCGAGTGATACCAGGCTTGCAATTTTTAATTAGATATTATTAAAATTTTAAAAACTTTGTTTTTAGTGGTTGTATATCAGAATCCTGACACACAGAATCCCGACACACAAAATCCCAACAAATTAAAATTCTAATTTTAATATCTTTAGAATTTTAATTTGTCAGGATTTGGATTTTGTTGCCGGGATTTTGTGTGTTGAGATTTTGTATATCGGGATTCTGATATACAACCGTTTTTAGTTTAATAGTAATATAATTTGTGTTTGAGCACCGACAAAACTGTCAAAGAATTAAAAATAAAAATAAAAATTCAGGTGATTTGACTACCAAAATGATCCTCTCAAAGAGAGGATTCTAATAAGTCTAAAATCATAAAAATCTAATCACTAGATCCTGAGATCAATCTAGATTTGTATATATACTACTATATATATATATTACTATATATAGTATTGTAATAAAAATTATAGTATTATAGTATTATAGTAGTTAGTTTATAGCATGTGACTATTTTTCTAGCACATGTCAATTACTCCTTTTTATTTGTGTATTACAATTAGTTAACTTATCCCATATAGAAGTACCATGGCCTATATGCAGTCTATGATCTATATATATGTATTTACAAGGCCTATGTATTCTATACAACCTACACACCCCTGTAAAGTTTATACAACCTACACAACCCAAACAACTCACTTATTTTAGAGAATCTATTAGATTTATTTTATATATTCTCTAAAATATGTATTTAAAAGCATTATTTTCACCTCTTTGTAATAATATATTCATTACATATTCATATATCCTATACAAATTCTTAAGTTCTTTATTAAATAAATATATAATTATAAAATAAATACAATAATGATCTTTGTCTAAATGCCTTCTGTGTAAAACCTGTCTCTCCAGCACACGTTGTAACCTAATTCTTGGTATTCTTGATAAAATATCTGAAATTTTCATCACAGTATAGTATATATAATAATATACAAATTTATTCTGATTTCTGGATCCTGTAATTAGATTTTGATAATTTTGGACTTGTTAGAATCCCCACTTTGTGGGGGTCATTTTGGTAGTTAAATCATCAAAATTAGACCAGTATAACAAAAGTTATTTATTATTAAAGTTTATATATATATTATTATATAAAATTTAAAATAAATATGAAATTTGATTGGCTAATGGAGGTATCAGGTGTGAGTGAGTGGGTCTGGCCTCAGGCAATCTATTAATAAAAATAAATCAGCTAATTTCTGAAAGCCCTCTAACCGATACCCAAAAAACCAAATATCTATAAGATATTGGTTTTGACAAAATAATATAAATCAATTTGATTGGCTAATATCAGTTATTGTGCAACAGATTATATATATAAGAAATATAATCCAGCTAATTAAATTTATTTGTAATTATGTAACAGCAGGCTATAATCAATTTTTAAATCTGATAACCTCTCAAAACTGATACAAAAGCTATCTACTATACATATCGAATTTAAGAGAGTATACTGTATATAGTATTTAATTAAATAATTATTAAGATATTTTTAAAGATTTAATTTTTTTATTAATATTATTAAATTATATTACTGATATTTAACACTATAATAATTTTTATTATAAGGAATATTCTATAGAATAGATAGACAATAAGCTTTATTAATAATTAGTAATTATTAATAAATACTTAGTAGAGTTGCAGAGTTTGTTTATCTATTCTATAGAACATCTCTTAAAATTTTGAAAAAATATACTTGTTACCAAATTTTCAATTGGCCAATTAGATTGGAAGTATGCAATCATATATAATTATAATTTGTTTTTATTTATTTATTTATTTATTTTTTTACTTTAGAGTTATTATTGTTAGTATTGGTGTAATTTGTAATTTCATTATTATCAGTGCTGTTGTTTTTTGGTGTTGTGTTCTGTTATAGTATTGTTATTGTTGGTTACATTTCATTGTTTTTTTTTTGTTGGTAAATTAATAGCATTTTTTTGTTGTTTTAGTAGTATTGATTTTGCTAGTTTTTTTTTTGTAGATCTTCTCATTAGTATATTTTTGTAGTTTATTTTGTAAGTCTTTCAGCATTCTTTGGTGGGTTTTTGGCATGTATTTGGTAGATCTTTAGGCATTTATTTAGTGTTTTTAGCATTTCTTCAATATTATCTTTGGCGTTTATTCAATAGATCTTTCACGTTTTTTGGTATTTCTTTAATACTTTTTTGGCATTTCTTTAGTAGTCTTTAGAGTAGGTTTTTGGTTTTATTCAATAAGTCTTCAGTGTTTTTTCAATATTTAATTTAATATTTCTTTGATGTTTATGATGTTTTCTTTAGTGTTTTTTTGACATTTCTTATGATGTTTTCTTCAGTGTTTTTTTGCCATTTTTTTGGTATCTTTTTAATATTTTTTTTATTATTTCTTTGACATTTTTTTTGCCATTTCTTTGACATTTTTTTTGTGTTTTTTCAATATTTTTTTTTGTATTTCTTCAACATTTTTTATAACATTTCTTTTAGTATTTTTTTCAGTATTACTTCGATATTTTTTTTGAGTTTCTTCAATGTTTTTATAGTATTTTTTTAGGTGTTTTTAGGATGTTCACTATGTCTTTTTTTTTAAATATAAATATTAGTAATAAAAAAAACTTAGAAAAATTTTTCTTATATCTAGTGTATAAATTTTTTTGATTAGCTAATTATAGTTACTGCTTGTGACAAATAAATTTACTTTAAAGTTTTATTTATAAAACTACTTTTTGAGTTTTAATAAAAAATTTTTGCAAAGTTTTGATATAAACTAAGCTTCTACTTTATTTTAGCTTTTAATTCTAACTTTAATCTTAATCAAAATTTAATTTTGCTTTGATAAAAATTATTTTGATTTATAGATTAAAGTTAAATACTACAAATACTATACAATATATAAGTTTTGTTTTTATTAATTTTTATTTAATTAACTCTTTTTAACAATTACTTTTATCAAAATTTTTTAGAAAAACAATTTATCAAAAACATAACAAGTATGTATTTAGAAGTATTATAAGTTGGGAGAAAGCTATAAGTCAGCAGCTATTATTTAAAAATAGTTTTTATACACTATTTGCTAATAGCCCTAAAGTTTATTATTCACTGCAAAAGCAAAAGCACTTGCTATTTAGAAATAGTTCTTATATACTATTCGTCAAAAGTTTAAAGCTTATCACTTACTAAAAGAAGATACTGCATAGCCAGTAGATTGTTATAGTATTCTTTTAATAAAGAAAAACTCATATTTTCTAGAAAAAGGTACAAGTAACTAGACTCTCTCT